TTTTTTTTTTTAATTCTTTTTAATTCTTCTAAAGTATAAAACTGAGTGGTGCCTGGAAGTTATAAGTGCCAGAAAATGAGAGGACAGATGAATTTGGTAGGTTTATGGTAAGTACATGTAAAACATATTCCTTCCTTTGAAGAGCTAAAAAAAATATTTTTACAGGAAGATATTCACAAAAGACATATGAACACCTGAAAAATATGTGAAAACCAAGTTGTGTTAAAACAGAGACATCACCTTTAACCTATCCAAATGGCAAATGGCTGCTGGAGACTCAGAAAGGCCACAGGCACTGGGGCTCTCGGTCCAGCCCCAAGAGGTTCATTCCTCTAACTGAGCTCTTCTGTGCATCCATTTGTGGTTAATTTGCAGCTTCTACCCTCCAGCTGGGAATGTAACGATGGGGAGGCTTCTAGTAAAGATTACCATGAAATTCATCTTTACATCAGTAGGGGGATAGTGGAAGTTTATGGAAATAAAGCACTCGCTGTCATGGGGCGGGGTGTGTATCATATTTTAAGGTTTATAGCCTTTGGACACATACAGTGCAAGCACATCGAGATCCTGGGCAATCTTACCAGCCTTAATATATGCAGCCACCTTCCACTGCTTTACATCACACTTTCTGTCACACTCTCTGTCGACATAAGGGGATCATTTGGTTAGTGAGTGAACCTGGCCATCTGCCCATAATTTATGAACAGTTATTTTATATTCATTGTGACTATTGTAAGTCACACAAAGGGACGAACCCCTTTTGGGGAGGGAGGTAGTTTTTTAAAAAATGTGATTTTTTAAAAAATGACCCAATCATAGAAGCATGGAACAGATTGACAAATTTCAGAGGGAAGTTGGGGGTGGGGTTGGGGGGCGTGGAGAGATTAACTGGGGAATTTATATGCATATATGCATAACCCATGGATACAGACAATAGTGTGGTGAAGGCCTGAGAGAGGTGTGTGCGGTGTAGGGGGCGGGGGCGGGGGGGGGGTGTTAATGTGGAAACAAAAGGGGACCTGCAATACTTTCAACAATACAGATAAATTTTCTTAAATGGCCCAATAAAGAAAGCCGACTTGTGGTATTGGAGATGGAAATGAAGAATCTGAGAACGTAATGGCTCTCGGACTGAAAATAAAAGGTTTGCTTGACTGTAGGAGTGCAATATCTCATTCGGTAATAGCTTCCATCTCCCAGGTGAATGAATCCAAGCGATCTCTACACAGAAATGAGAGAAGAATTTAACAGAACTATTTCAGTAAGTGTTCCGCACAGTGAAAAAATTACTCACCAAGTGAGAGACAACAGTTGTGAAAGCTGAAAATGAGGTTTATTTGTCATGTGAATTATAAACACAGGAAACAAATATATCTTGGCAGAAATGTCCTTCAGGGCAAATTTAGGAACTTGCAAATATACATTCTTCGATTATAAGTGGTAAAGGTACTAGTGAGCCTGTCCAAACAAAGTTTACCATTGAGTAAACATTGGTGGGAGAGTTTTTCCTTGCTTCCCGTAAATTTAATTAAAGAAAGAACATTACTGGCTTCCTTGACTTACTACTTTGGTGTTTTGGGTTTTTGTTTCTAAATTGAAAAGCTAAAGAGGCTCATTGTGGAGAAAGTCATGAACCAGGATAAATTATCAACACAGAAAAAAAATATATATATATTCTGTGGAAATGCTTTGGCACACAGAGATACTCAAGGAAAAATGAGCTTCTGAGTTTCAAACAGGTAAGGGTTGACTATCTCATCTTCTTTGGGGCAATGGTGCAGGCTTCATTATCCAGCTAGATTTGTTCTGCCAATAAGAAAACCTCATGGCATTGAGAAATAACAATGAGAACTCACGGTAGGCATGTTGGCTGTACAAAAGAAAGAGATAGTAAGAGAGATAGAAGCTTGGATAATGCCATGTAGAATACAATTTAGTAATGTTTATTTCAGTAACTGTATTACTTAAGTCATATATTTACAGAATTACTAATGTCCAAAGGAACCAAATCCAACTGAAAAATGGAAACCAGGGAAGTTCTCAGAAAATGAAATGTAAATGCAAACCTAAACGTGTGAGAAGGCACTCTTCCCTCCCATAAAATGAAAGTGCAAATTAAAACTCTGCTGAAATAACATTTCTCACCTATTCAATTGGCAAAAATTCAAAAGTTTAACACTATGCCAGCTGTGGGAAAGCTGGAAAGAAACGGGAACTTGCTTCCATTGCTGGTGAGTATGCAGAATGTTTCTGGCTCTCAAAGAGCAACTTTGTAATAGCTATCAAAATTGTAAACGCATTTACTCTTTGGCTCTGCTAGTCTACATCTGGAACTCTATCTGATAGCATTTCTGTATGTGTACAAAATGATTTTTGTCAGTTATTTACTGAATATTGCTTGTAACAGAAAACAGAAACTACCCAAATGTCCATCACTCTGGGACTGATCGAATACATTGTAATGAAAAAGCTCTCTATGTATTAATCTTGAAAGATGCCCAGTATGTATCAATAAAAGTAAAGAACTGAACATATTACATTACCTTAAAAAATAATAATAAAGGCAGCTTGGAGTTTTAAAAAAAGGAATAGGTGAGCGGAGAACTAACAAATACATTTATGTTTATATTTACATTAAAGAGACACTGGATAGAGACTCTGGAAGTGATACAATGCTTTGGCAGGTGAGGAGGAGTAGATAGGACTAGGTAGGAAGGAGGCTCCTCAAGATGTGTGGTATTAATTTATTGTCTATATGAATATATACTTTGTAAAATAAATAAAACAGTAACTTAAATTTTTCAGTGTTTTTTGTAGTTGGTGTGGAAAAAATGTAAGAGACTCAATGCAGAAACTCTTCTGTGACGATCTTAGATCTTTAAGTGGTCAGGGTCCAAGATTAGATTTTAAAGGAGCCCGTGAAATTGAATGCAAAATGTTGTATCTCTTTGCATATGTACATATTTCTAGGACAACTCTCCAGAGCTTGCATCACATTATTGAAAGAATTCCATGATCCAAAACAATGTGAGAGGTCACAAATTTGAACATTCATACAAGTCTCTAAACTTATACTTCCTAAATATGAAGATACTGTATGTCTTGGTAGTTATAAATATGGGTACTGGAATCCAGAGACTTGGGGTCGAAGTTCACCACTTATGAGTTGTATATCTCTGGGCAGTTTATTCAAGCTTTCTAATCTCATGTCTCTTACCTGCAATAGAAAGAAAATAGTAACATCTATTTCAGATGGTATTGTAAGGATGGAATTAAATAGTATATGTAAAGTGTTTAGCAAAATGCCAGACACACAATTAGAGCTCAAAAAATATTGCCCAGTGTAATCATTGAACTGAATATTGGTCCTGTGGTTACATAGCAAATTTTGGAAGGGGTCAGAATATGCACTTAGTTTTGGCCATGTTAAATTTGAGGTGCCTATGGGATACCTAAGTGGATATATCTGGCAGAAAATGAGTTTAAAGGTTTTGAGTGCTGGAAAAGTTAGGCTATGTTATGTTTTTATGTTAAGTTTTTTTTTTTTTTATCTCTGTCTACATTCTCTTCCTTGGTGATCTCATCTAGTTTCATGATCATATACTGATAACTCCTATATATATCTATATGGCTCAGAGCTCTCCCTTAAACTCACACTCCAAATACCTACTCAACAAATATTCTTGGATGTTTATAGGCATCTCAGAATTAACATGTTTTTGTTGTGTGTGTTTTTTATTGTTGTTGTTGTTAATCCTCATCCGAGGACATTTTTCCATTGATTTTTAAAGAGAGTGGAAGGGAAAGGGAGAGACAGAGAGAAACACTGATGTGTGAGAGACACATTGATTGGTTGCCTCCTGCCCGCACCCTGACCAGGGCCAGGGAACCTGCAACCAAGGTACATGCCCTTGACCAGAATCAAACCCAGGACCCTTCAGTTCACAGGCCAACACTCTCCACTGAGCCAAACTAGCTAGGGTGAGAATTAACATGTTTTAAAATGAATTCCTGACTGTCCCCTACTAATTGACCCAACTATAGCTTTCCACATCTCAATTAAGAGTATTTCCATTTTTCTACTTACTCAAGCAAAAATTTTGAAGTCATCCTGATTTTTCCCCTCCTATCCCACCCAACATCCAATCCATTCATTCATGCTATTGGCTCTACTACAAAATATATCTATATCCAATTATTTCATGCTCACTTTCTTGTTACCACTCTGATCCAAACTACTAAAATCCCTCCCACCAGAATTATTGTGACAGCCTCCTAACTGGTTTTTCTGCTTCCACCCTTCTCCCTAGGTGGAATCTCAGGGAGATTCTCAGCACAGCCACCAACCAATTATTGAAACCAGCACTCCTCTGCTCAAGACCTCAGGGGCTGCCAGCTCACCTGGAATTCAACCACAGTCCTTCCCACAATCATGAGCCTACCCCTTTATTTCTCTCACCTCATTTGCAATTTTTCTTCTCTTGCCTCTACTTTCCAGCCCCACTGACATCCTTCCTGTTTTTCCAATGTATACCAGAAACAGTCCTACTTTCTATCTGGAATTTTCTTCTTCCAGATTCCATGCGGCTCACTTCTATGCCTCCTTCAAGTTTTTGCTCAAATGTCATCTTCTCAGTGAAATGTTTCCTGACCAAACCAACCTAAATTGCACCCCCATACTCCCTCTACCCTCCCTCACTGCTTTATTTTTCTGCAGCATTCATCATCAGTTCATGTATTATATATTTCATTTAGTTATTTTATTTATAAATTATTTATAAGTTATTTTATTTACAAGACCAGAGTGAGGCCATGAAACAGAAAAGACCACAGTGCCCCTCCTGTGCTAAGAGAGAAGGGACCACCAGCTGAAGATGCCAGAAACAACTAGGTTGGCAGAAAAGTTTCATAGAGACCGGAGAACAAGACGGCAATACAAGTTCCCACACATAAATCCAAGAGACTCACTCTTCCACTCCATTCACTATAAACTCTAAAGCCACTTCCCCATACCTCAAGAGGCCAACCTGAAGAGGAGCAGCGAGAAGAGGCATCTGAAAGACAGGAATTACAAGGATTATTAGTTCAGTTGTGTTTAACAGATTTGAACTCAATATAGTGGCCTGTTTGGAACCCAGTAACTTCATCCTGCTCCACTATGCCAACTGTCGGGGACTGGACCTTCTCGATGGAGAAGACATAAGAATTTGTGGGTACATAAGAGAGTCTTTATTGTAGAAACCAGTGGCCATGTAGCCATTACTAACAAGGAGCCACCAGACAAAACAGTTCTGCAAAGCAAAGTCCCATACAGCTGGTAGCCGCACACCGGTTAGGTAACAATACATAGTCTCCATAACGCAGGTCCACATAATAGCAGCCTGCCTTACATAGGAGCAGCCTCACCAGTGGTGGCACTGGCTGGTCAGTAATGACTTTATAGTACTTAGATAAAAGAGGCTTCTTTCCAAATAGTGACCTCAGTCTTTTGGGTTATAGAAGGGCACACTTGTGCAGTGTACATACAGATTACTGTGGCCTTGCTCTTGCACCTGTGTATAGTTCTTGGACACCCTGATTAAGACTCACATGCTCAGAGTGGCCTTGAACATCTGGCATACTCTGAACAGGGCCTCTATACTCCAATTGGCTTTGAGCATCCAGTGTACTTTGAATAAGGTCCCCACATGGCCCCTGCTAAATCAGGAGCATGAAGGCTCCTAAGATAAAAACATGTGAATGGATTTTCCCCTGCTGCAGTTTAAGTTGCAATTCAACACCAACAGCCTGGATTTCTCTAGGGCTTCCTGATGGATCTTGTATCTGGGTCTTCTCTGTCAGGCTAGCCTCTCCAACCCTGACTATCATTCATTCATTCAGTCGGTCATTTTTATTTCAACTGTAAATGAGGGCATCTGAGGCTGAGCAAGAAGAGTCCATTTAGAGATAGAAGAGCTGGTGCCAGCCCTCAGAGCCACTAACTGTGCTCTGTGACCTTTCTGAGTCTCTTTCCTTACCTATAAAATAAGGCTGCATTGAACTAGCATCTGTTTTGAACAAAATAATAAATATAAAATGTATTGGTAAATTTCAAAGTGCTCTGTGAATTTAAAGCATTGTTATATGGAAACTAAAAAGTACTGTCAGGTGACTGCCCACTTTACCCTACTGGAGGCTGCAAGTTTGAGCAAGACACATTCCCTACCTAGGGCTTTTGATAATCTCATGCAGCGATGCCTCTGATTCACCTGGTTTATCCTCTGGGTCCTGCTCTGCTTATCAGAGTCAGTTTGCTTTATGCTGGGAAGGAAGGCTGAGATGAGGAAAATGACAAGGTTGGATTTCAGTCTCTGACACTGAAATGAGTCATTTGGTCATCCACAATTCCCTGATCCATGAAAGCAGCCGCTGCACAAAATTCTATGTTCTCGCACATCAGGGAGACAAGAAATACACACACACACACACACACACACACACACACACACACACGGACTGAAAGGAAGCTCTGGAGAGCCTGTGCCTTCCAAACTCACATTGGACATCTCTGTCATTCTGTTAAGTGCAAAGCAGAATCTTTAAAGATTCCCTTGCGTAACGTTTGTAATATTGCATATCAATCTCCCAGCTTGTTTACCCGTTAATTCAGTCTGTATCCTGTAGTGGGAAACTGAAGTAATCAACCACATAATGAGCTCCTGAAAATTTGCTATTGAAGGGCCTGGAATTAGCCAGATAAGCTGGTGACATTAAGTAAAGTGGTTAGAAAATAACTCATCTCCCCACCTCATACTGTAAAACCACACACACACACACACACACACAATGGTATGTTAATGTTATATATTCACATTGTATATACATTTCAAGTTGAGCATGAAGATAAGCCTTTCATTGCACGTGGTGAAAGAGGGCCCAAAGGAAGCAATACGTGAAGTAGAGAAAACTTAACTTATACCACAGCACACACATTGTGTTTAAGGGTCTAACTCCCTATGGCATTCTGAACATTTCTCTATGAAACCAGGAACCAGGGTTATAAAAATATATATTTGCACACAAAAACAAAATATATTTTTTTCTCTTCTGTTTTCATCCTCAAGATGAAATCAAGTTCAAAGATATTACTTTTCTTAATGGGGGTGAGGGGGGAGAAAACACACACTGCTTTCTCTCCAGAGACTTCCCAGAGGGAGGAGATAATTAGGCTCCTTCTCTCTGATTAGATATGCAAACTAAGTACAGTGGGGCCTCGACTTACCAGTTTGATTCGTTCTGAGACCGAGCTCGTTAAGGAGCTCATTAAGGAGCTCGTTAACTCAAATTACTCTGTCAACTCAATGCAAAAAATCTGCGGAGAGACAGCTGGTATCTCAAAAAACTCGTTAGTCGGGACACTCGTAAGTCAAGGCCCCACTGTATGAGCAATTACCTGACACTAAGGTACCAGCAGCTGAGGAACTGCTTTCACTCTGAGTTTGCACTGCACAGGCTCCTGGTTGCACAGGCTTCTTGGTTCCTGTCTATTTGGGAACAAAATGAGAATGAGATTACAATGATCCTGTGAGAACACAAAAAGTCTAATTAAATATGAAAGGTCAATCCAGGAAGCAGGAGAATGGAATTGTCTTAAATTCTTACTCCAAATGCTAGCTATCCATTTAAGTTAAGTCTTACTGCTATAGTTAAACAAATAAATATAGTCATACAAACTGCTATTTAAATAACAGATGGGGAGGTAGTGCACCACACAGCCTAATCCCTGATATGTAGTCCATGCTAGAAATAGCTAAACTCCGCTGAGCCTCTTCTATGCATCTTGCATTGGGTTAAATACTCATTCATTCATTTGTTTAAAAAAATACATCTCAGACATGAGGCGTGGTTCTGGGTCCTTGGAGCTCAACTGTGATAGAATCAAACAATGCCCTCTTCTTGTGGTTCAAAACCAACAGACTAAATAAAGGAGATGCAACATATCAAAGAGAGAGAGAGAGAGGAAGAGAGAGAGAGAGAGAGAGAGAGAGAGAGAGAGAGAGAGAGAGAGAGAGAAGGGAAGTTCAGCTCCCTATTGAGAAGTTATGAAAAAATCAAAATAGAGAAATAGGCCAGTAGAGTGGGAACTATAATACAGTATATAGAGTGGCCACAGAAGACTTCTGAGGAGAAAATTGGTGTGAGAGTTGGAGTTCTCCAAAACCTCCTGGTAGCACATTCTACACAGAAGGCACAGAGTGTGAATGACTTGAGTCAAGAATGAGCTTGATTTTGCAAAGTCCTGAAAGAAAGCTTTGGGCAGATTCTGATTTCCCTCATTTTGCAGATGAAAAAGTTGAGACTCATGAAGTTTAAACAACTTGTCCAAACTCACTTTACACATATTTGCCACTGCTGGGAATTCTTTTACATCTACTTTTACTTCTTGGATAGGCAAATTGTTTCTATTTCATCAAAGCAGTATAAAAAGACATTCATTGGTTTAAAAAAAAATGGGCAGAGGACCTGAACAGACACTTTTCCCAAGAAGACATACAAATGGCCAAGAGATATAGGAAAAGATGCTCAACTTCACTAGATATTAGGAAAATGCAAATCAAAACTTCAATGAGATACCACCTCACACCTAGTTCAATAAGAACAAGGGTTGAGAGGCTTTGGGAAAGAAGGAACCATCATTCACTGCTGGTGGGAATGTAAACTAGTACAGCCACTATGGAAAACAGTATGTAGGTTCCTCAAAAAATTCAAAATACAATTACTACATAACCCAGCAAACCTTCTTCAGGGTATCTACCCAAAAAATTAAAAGACATTTATTAGCAAAAATATATGCACCCCTGTGTTTATTGCAGTGTTATTCACAGTGGCCAAGACATGGAAATAGATAGTGTCCTTTGATGGATGATAGGATAAAGAAGATGTGGTACATATATATAGTGGAATAACTACTTAGCCATAAGAAAAGATAAAATACTGCCATTTGTGACAACATGGATGGATCTTTAGAATATCTTGCTAAGTGAAATAAATCAGACAGAAAATAATCAAGAACCATAAGATTTCACTCATATATATAATATAAAACTGAAATCAACAAGTGAACAAATAAGAAAAACAAAAACTCATAGACACAGACAACAGTATGGTGGTTACCAAAGGGAAGGGGGCAGTGGATAATAGAGAATAGAGGAGGTCAAATATATGGTGACAAAAGAAGAATTAACTCTGGGTGGTGGGCACACAATGCAATATATAGATAATGTACCATAAAATTGTACACCTGAAACCTATATGACCTTATTAACCAATATCACATCAATAAATTTAATTTAAAAGAAGGCATTCATTGGAAGTCCTCTTGCTTCCCTTTTTTTCCTGTCCATACCGTTCCATCCCTCATCCCACTCCCTAGCACTAACTAAAAGTGGTTTAATTTTGCTTTCTTGGATATCATTTATAATTTATGCAAATGCAAGCAAATACAATTCCATATTTTTATCCTGCTTTCTATTAAAATATAATATATTACATAAACTATACTGTGTTTTCCTATTTCACTTAAAAATATATATCCTGGAGCCCTGGCTGGTGTGACTCAGTTGAGTGTCATTCTTGCACCAAGAGGTCACTAGTTCAATTCCCAGTGAGGACATATGCTCAGGTTGTGGGGTTGCAGGCTCAATCCCCAGTAAGGGGCATGCAGGAGACAGCTAATCAATGGTTCCCTCTCACCAATGTTTTTCTATCTCCACCTCCCTTCCTCTCTCTCTCTAAAATCAATAAAAATATATCATTTATTTATATACTAGAGGCCCAGGGCATGAATTTGTGCACGGATGGGGTCCCGCTGGCCACCCTCATGGGGGCCGATTGGGTGGGGGCAGAGGGGGGAGGGGACACGGGAGGTTGGCTGGCCAGCCCCGCCCCTGATCAGCGTGGGGGTGGCAATCGGGGCCCCGATCAGGCTGGTTGGCTGCTGCAGTGCGCATCATAGCGACTGGTCATTCCAGTCGTTTCGGTCATTCCATTGTTCCAGGTCCTGGGTTTTTATAGAGAGAGAGATATATTTCCTGAAAACCTTTCCATGACAGTACCTAAAAAGCTTCTCATTTTGCCATATAATCTTCCCCTGTAGAGGTGAAAAATGATTTATGTGATCATTCCTTTGATGATAACCTAGATTGCTTCTAGATTTTTGCTATACAAACAATAAAAAAACTTGTGCATATTACATTTTGTGTAGGTGAAATCACTGGATCAAAGTAATTGATAAAAGTTGCCATAGTGCCTTCCAATGAGGTAATAGATTCTACTCCCACCAGTAATTCCGTTATGTTTCCCTAAAAGCTCATCAAAGGAGGGTTTTGTAAACTTTTGGACTTTTGCCCATCTGATAGGTAAGGAATGTTATCTCTGTATCGTTAATGTCTGGCAGCTCTCTTTATTTAAAGAAATCATTAACCTTTTATTTTGGACATTAGTTGCAATTTTCTTAATTTGTCATTTGTTTTTTAATTTTACTTATGGTTTTTTTGTGTGTTGTTGTTTATTTTTGTTTTGTTTTGTGCGGGGTTTTTTTTGCCATGCAGAGATTTAATTTATTTATTTATTATATTTTTGTTCTTTAAGGTGATGAAATTTTTCAATCCTTTTGTTATGGCATATAGACATTTGTGTCATCGTTACAAAGACTCTCTCCAATTTGAGATTATAAAAAAATTCACCCATGTATTCTTCAACCAATGTTTTTGTTTTGTTTTACATTTATATAATCCGATATATCCAAAGTTTATCCTTGCATATGGTAACAAGATATGGCTCTAGCTTTCAAGAACTGGGACTTAAATTCAGATTAGCCTTTGCTCTTTGGCCATACCTTAAAGCCAGGGACTAGCCTCAAAGAGAAATCTAAATTCTAAAATACAACCCATTCAAAATTAGTTTTTTGGCCCTAGGCATCACAGGTTTCTGCAGGGTTCTTGGCAGGCTGTTGGGGACATCCTGTTCTTCTCCAGTCTGTTCTCTGGGGTTGAGCCCAAATGACGAGGGTGTGTAAAAGTCACTAAAGAAGGGAGTGATCAACTGCTCTAGGCAGCCTAGGCATGTGATTCATGCTCAAGAGCCACTTCACTTACTCTCAGAAAATCTAGGTCTTAGTCCTACCTTGGACCCCTCCTAGCTATAAGATTTGGAGAAACCACTTAATATCCTTTGGCCTTAGTTATTTCAACTACAGGAGAAGGAGTTTGAACCTTTTCTGCTTGATGTTCTTAGAATTAGTAAGTTACTTAAGGTCTATAATGGTTTGGCCAGACCTTGAATCTGGTGATATGTCTACTATGTTGTCAATTTCTAGATATAGTGATAAGAATAAAATAAGAGGCACTTACTGCATACCAGGCACTCACTGTTCTAAGCACTTTTTCTGTGTGAACATATTCAACCTTCACAACACTGAGAGGTAGATACTGTCATTATTTTCATTATGTAGATGAAGACAGTGAGGCAGAAAGTTTCAAAAGTCGCCAACCCAAGAAAAAGTGTGACAGAGGGAAAAATGAGAGAAGAAAGATTGTGGTCATAATCCACTATAATTTAAATATCTTACATTTGTAAATTATGCATATACAGTGATCATGTGAGCACACTGCTAGCATCTCTCCCAGAGCCTTGAAAGGGACCAATCCAAGTGATAGGTTTTCAGGCAAAAGAAGTAAATCATGCAAATGTATGGAGAAAGGGTATCTTTTGAAGAGAGAACCACTAGTGCTGAAACTTGAAGCAAGTACAAATTTGATATGTATGAGTCACTGAAAGAAAACCCCCATGTTCAGAATGTAGCTTCACCAGCTGCTCCCACTTTCTAACAACTCAGGAGCACAAAGGTGGTAAGGCGCTCAGTATGTAACTTCTGCCTGGAAACTCATGTCACTATGATGAGCTTAAAGGATCATCTGGGATCATCTAACAATCTGCAATGCCTATTGGGTTTCTGACCATGTCTCATGGAGCTCCAAAGACTTAAGCTCCTCACTCCAGCCTCAGCCTCATTGCTACATGTTTCATGCATCTGATTCATACCTTAGATTCTTCAGAAGGAATATCAGAACCATGGGCTCTATCTCTGGGAAAGGTTGGAAACTTCATAAACCCCAACCCTGTCATTTGATCTTGGAGGACATGGAAGCTCAGAAAGAGGAAATGGTTATCCCATCCCAAAGCCACATTTAGATAGGGACAGACCCACTGCAGGAACTCCAACTTCCTGATTCCCACTCTAGGGCTCCTCCAGTACTCCATGTCATGCTCACTCCTAATCTCCAATAAATTTTCTTTCAGATATTCTTTTAAAACAGAGAGAAGTTGAAAGAAGGCTATCATCAATTTATATTCTCTACCCATCTTATGAGACAAAGGACGGGAGCTGTAGAGCTTGCACAGGGTAATGAATTCCCCTTTTGCCAAAACAGAAGCTTGGAAGGGAAAAGTGAATCTTTTGCAGCTATGATTCTACTAATTGAAG